GCCAGTACCGCGCTGTCCTCGCTCAGTTGAGTTGAGTTCACTGGATCCATTGTTAAGTCCCCTGAAAGACTTATGGAAGGGATTGCCGCCCGTATTGCGATTATTTTGAACGGCTATCCTGCTATTCGCCATGCTGATTAATCAGCCTCTCGCAGTTTCCGAGCGCACTGGGCGTCATATACTGAATGCTACCTGGCATTATTAAACTCTCCTTTGAATAAATATAATCGGTATCCCCAATCGACCTAGTTGCTGTGATATAAATGGCCCTCGTTGTGAAAAGTGTCGTGAAGAAAGTTTGCAGCGCTAGTAGGATGTGATCATTGTCTCTAAGGGAGCCATCGCAGCGGTCTGGTAGATACTATATACTAGGGAGACAAACGGCAGGAGTACTGAAGAACTGAAGAAGTGACTTGTTCACTTCATATGTGGACCACATTAATGGAGACAATGGAGATTTGAAGCATACTAGGCGAGATAAATAAAATACCTACGTGGAGGCGGAAAGGTTCAGTTGGTTGTAAATTAACGGCGACAGGACTAACCACTACGCTATCATTTACTATAGTTGGGGCACCATTTTTTATGATGGTCACTAAGCCACTGAACACATCGTTATCCTTCAGAGCACAGCGAATGGCGTTACAGCAACCTTAAAAACAACTTTGCAACACGAAAAACAGCAACCTTACACTTTGAAAGCAACCCCAAAGCCACTTTAGTGGGAGTTACTAGAGCCACTAGACAAAAATGCTAGCCCCCACTAGACAATACCAAAAACATGGCACATCGTGTTGGTAGCAGTAGATATAAATAGATTACGCCTTCTCATACTTGAACTGTCAGTCAAGCATATCACTCCAATTCACTGAAGATCCTTGGATGCTGCCACAATGAAAGCTCACGAACTACCTGCTGTAATATATTTCATCGCTGACTTTTGCAAGAAGACGTTACGTGCACGTGACTATTTATCGTACCATCCACCAGGCTATGGGGATACAGGCAGAGGTGGCAGCATGGTTCAAGCTCGCATACTGGCATATATATATATATATCCAACACGTCGCGAGTAGTTCGCAGAAGCAATTCGCGATCTCCCAGAAAAATAATTAAACAGCAAGAGACACATAAAACATTTGGAAGACTTGAGTAACCACAACATGAGCAATGGGGATTTATCTTCTGGTTCGGGCCCCAACTCTGGTATGGATAGTGCCCAAGAAACGCCCTGTTCTCAATCTGTTCGTTCAGCTGTAGCCGCAGTGAATGGCCAGTCTGTTGATCAGATGACATCCGTACAGCAAGTACTCAAACTCAGCAATTTGTGAGTTTAGAAATACCCGAGCCGCCATTAGACAATGCAGGACTTCTAATATCAAAAATGAGGCCGGTCACCTCAGGCCAATCGACATCGTTGCCGTTCGATTCGAAGATGAAGAAGGTGCAGTCCACAACACCACATCTTCAAAAAGCCAATTTAAAAAGAATCAAGTTGTAGATTCAGTACAGATCGACAATAATTGTAAACCTTTAGACTACTTCCTAAGCTTCTACAGCAAATGAATTTGATATTTTTCATCAACAACTGTATCGGCAACGACCATAAAAGGCACAGTATGTAAGCAGGGCTTGATTAGACATATAGAAGATGCGTTTTGTGCGTTGCTGGACCGATCGTCCCGTTCATTTTGATATATATGCAACCTCACGCGTTGAGAGTTACCACGCAGCCCTTAAAGGTTGACTATTATCCGGAGGTGACTTACAAAAAATGTATCACGCAATGAAATTGTGGTGGTAAAATTCCATTAAAGATCATCGAGATGCTGTATCGGATGAAAGTGTCAGGGTTCCTAAAACTTTACGTGGACCTCTGTTCGCTGACGTCACTAAAACCATACATTGCTACCCTTTACTCAGATGCTTGAAGATTCTTACTTGGTCCGTCACGAACGTATGCAGTAAAGTGTCCACCCATTCGACCAGGCCGAAAGGAAGCGGAGAACTCGACCTGCAAGGTATGCTCGCTGCTAAAAGGCTCTGATGACGCGAAAGGCGCCGATTCGAATAGTTACTGCAGTGATTGTAAGCTAAAGTCGGTGACGACCAGGCCGAATTCTTAACGGGTTTTCTGTGTGATAAAGCTCGCCGTACGCACAACAGCAAACTCATTACTTGCTTAGAATTGTGGCACAAAGTGTGGCGAAATGGGACCCAGCTTCCACACTCGGCTCGTAAGCGAAAGATGCAAGCCTGCAAGCCCGCGCGAGCGTCCACAAGCGGGGATGGTGTTCGGGAGGATGACGGAGGATCAAGTGAGGTCGAGGGGTCAACTGAGGGAGTGATAGAGTGTCGGGATCACCTGGCAAAGCGAACGCGCGTCGCAGACCCAATGGACTATTCAATAGCATGCTCCACAAAGTCATCCTTTCGGATAGCATATGCATCTATTGCAACGTCTTCGTGCTCGGATGACAAGGCTTTATCTCATAGCTCGACTGTTTTTGACTTTCAAATACATGTTAGCAGCTAATACTGTATGTTTTGCATCGATAAGCCCTCATTATCAGGGAGATGCATGTTAACAAATGGCAGGATAGGTTCATCGAGCGCCTATCCAGGTTACATGATACTAAAATATACAAAGTTTTGTATTAAAACCCTGTACTCGGATATACAAGTTTGTTTGGCTGGTGAGGGCGCAGATAGACTCTCGCGCTCAAGGGGTTAAGCAACATAACAATGAAAAGTCCGCAAATAGCTGATTTTAATAAATAAAATCGTCAAACTTCTAATTTAGGAGGCCTGCTATATACAATCGTGTTGCTGCAGTCGCGCTATACTGATGTCACAGATTTCGGGCTTTTGACAAACCTGACCAAACCTAAGGAAATAGACGGGATCTGGGCAGGCCCTATCAAGCTCTTCATTCTAGTACCTTAGTGCTGTCCTGCGGTTGGTCGCCCAGTTGTCCGTTCTTGGGCCTCAATTACACGGAACTTAATACTGTATAACCGCCCGTAGCTGTAGCCGGAGCTCTCACGCTATTATATTCACGCAGATCCTCTTCCTCTCAACATCTCAACCTCTCAACCTGCTCTACCTACGGGTAAGTGCCTTTCTTCCCAAGACAACAATCACTGGGAGCTGGTTACTCTCGTCGCAACACACTTCCCCGCTCGCCGTCCACTCATTACACGTCTGCAACTTGCCGGCACCCACACGCTTCGCCTTTCCAATACAGTCGTTTTATCACATCTTGTGGCCGACCATCCTACACAATGTTCACCGTGCCACACCCACCTTCACAACATGCCGACCTTCGCTCTTCTATCTCTGCCCTTGATTCCGCCAAGCCGCGCTCCACACTGCCGGCGCTCCCCGGCGCAAATCCCGACTGCTTGCGTGCTCCAACATTGGATTGACAATGAGCGGTTGGCGTGCGACGAAGAGGGAGGAACCTGCATGGAGGGTCCCATGCGAAGATCCACTTTATCACAAATGTATTGTGATGTCTCGTGCCCTAACCTAGTTACAATCTTTTTATTGTTTTTATAGTCACTACGCTATGACCTTGCACTGTGCAGTCTGGAGTGTTTATTCAGTTCATTGTATTGTTTCAACACCACTCCACCAGAAGGAAATACATTTACTTGTTTTTGTTTTACGTGTTAGTATCGTTGTTTCAAGCCGCCTACCGTTCATGCAAAACTACTCCCAAATAGCATTGTTGACAGCAGCTCACATACACAGGTTTCCGCAAAGTGACTTTGCGATATGGTTAAGTCTTTCTCCCTCTCTCAATTATTTTGCTATTGATTAAGCGTCCCCGTTTACAGTGCGTTTGAGTTCGTTTACCATTTTGCGATGAAATAAAGCACCCCATCATAATTATCTAATAGAACTTGTTGCATCCACTCACGGTTCGCTATCACCGCCAAACTTGTATTCAAACATTTTTAGAATGTTATTATAGTCACGAAAATATTCATGCATTTAAGCTTGTTGCGAAATAAGTCGGGGGGCGGGGGGTCGAGTCCATACGAATAATGTTCAGCCTTTCGGTTAACTAGCGTGGTTAATATCCTAGTCGTTGCTGTGACTAAAGCTAAAAACGCTATAGAGAATATGATCAAGTTTCTTCTCCATTATGGTATTAGTAGCGGTTATTGCATCTGTTATTGTATCTGGAACTATATGTCATTTTGGCTCGAATAAACTTGTGTCTATTAGCAACCATGTTCTTATTGTAGGCCTGCTAGTAGTGCAGGTTTACCCGCCAAGCATATAACATCGAAATTGTCTCGTTTAGATAGCGTCGAAGGTCCTAACTAGGATGCTTCGCTTTAGGCTGGGAGGGCTGTGAAAATGCCGTAAAAGTAATTTGTTTAATTATGTTAATGCGGGCGAATGGTGATTCGCGTACATTGTTCTGTTATCAACGAGGTGAGTCATTATAAACCCAAGCTACTCTTAACGCTTTTTGTATTTTCAGGCTCATACAGTACAAAATCAAACTTGGACGGTCAACTACGGCACCACGTAGGCTGAATTAGGTTTCTTACCGTGTTAAAGTGAAAACGTGAAGGCTACTTCTTCGGCGGGTAAACCCGCCGAAGAATGCACACCGCTACTAGATTAGACAATGCTTTTATTCTCGTAAGAAAAGAACTTAGCGTTTGTTTATACATAAAGAATCCACGGTTTTGAGAAATGGCGCGGCAGTTGCAGAATAGGGTTGTATTGATAGCTCTCTTTGAATTGGTTTCCGCACTGGATCATCCAAACGGGTTGGATTGAACGTTAAATTCACGACAATAACAACGAAATTGCAGGTGGACTTTGGAGCAAGTTGATAGTTTTTAACGCATCATGAACCGTGATTCACGAGTCTGCCTAGACGCACATGATATTTGTTTTGAAAAGGTTTGTAAGAACGCACTAGCAACTTTGGCGACCAACGTGCCACTAAGTTATGTATATGCTGTGTGTCGTGATGTAAATATACCCCACGAAATTGAGATCTCCGAAATTCATACACATTCACAAAGTTGGAAGAACGATACTTCGAGGGCATCTAAAGTTGTGGCCTGGGGACGAAGTTGAGGTTGATTTCGGTAGTCTATCTCGGCCTCTTGTAAACGCAAATGTCTCTATGTTTCCCTGTTGGGAAAGTTAGTAGAGCCGCTGCAGCTCGCGCAATGCATCTAGACTCTTCTCCGTAGCCTGGATCTCGGTCTGCAGCTGCGTAAGGCGCTGTGCGTCCTGAGCTTGCACTGCTTCGGGCACTTTAATAGCATAATGTGGTCCCTGTTGGCGCCGGATTAGGGCTTCAGCGGCGGACGCACTCTTTGAAGCGCGCTTCTCTAGTCTGGAGATCTCGTTCGCTACGCGTTGTGTCGTCTCAGCATCGTCCGGTACCACCAGCATTACTGTGATGCCAGCATTCAAGCAATACGTTAGAGCTTGTCCCTATATAAGAAACATTTTAACTCGAGCGAACCTCGACAGTAGTTCGAAACCGAGTGCGTGAGCACATGGGCCGACGGTAACGTCGATGATCCATCGCCAGCAATAACGACATCCACATTCACGCGGCATTGGGTCTCAAGATCACGTTGCGCATCCTTCAGCTCGGAGTGCACTGTCGCGTTCGAACACACGATGCGAACAGTAGGACGATCGCTGTTGTTAAGTCGACATCAAAGTCTTAGTACATCCATAGTGAGTTCGAATAGTGCTGTAAATTTGTGTACCTGTCACTCGTGGGAGTTGCATTCGGTGCCAGAACCTTGACGGTGTGGCGTAGCGAGCGGATTCCATGAATCACGTCGATAACAAGCTACAAAAGCATCCGAGATGACATTAGAAATTACAGAATACGCATGAATAAATCAAAATAAAACGTACTGCCATCCTCTGCTCAGCATCTGCATCAACCCAGGAGCTCATGTGTGATTGTTCCGGGTATTCTGCACACAAGATCGACGTCTCGATATCCTCCTCTTTGGATGCATTAAGTGGATCGACCTCCCGAATACGCTGCCATAATTCTTCCGTAACAAACGGTGTGAACGGGTGCAGCAGACGCATAGAGTAGTCCAGGCAACGGTGTAGCGTAGCCTGAGCACTTCGCTTCCGTGCTTGCCGTTTTTCCTCACAATCAAGACCTTCTTCGAGGCGGTTGCCGTACAGCACCGGCTTGCTGAATTCAATGTAGACGTCACACAACTCTTGCACAAAGAATCGTTGGATTGCAGCGACGCTCGTCGCTAACTGGTTCGCTGCGATGCCATCATTCACCTCGGACACAACGGCAGCCTGACAGCAACACAAGTCCAGAGTTAGAACAGAGTTTGTCCAGTACAACAGTACTACAAAATGTCCACTTACCAGTCGACTCATAATCCAGCGGTCGGCAAGAGTCATGTCGCCACGTAAGAGAGAAAGATCCACCGATTCTGGGCTGCCGTTATCCGTCTCTAGTAGTGGTAGGGCGTAGCGCACTGCATTCCACACCTTGTTGCAGAAATGACGATACGATACGACACGCTGCACGTCCATGTTGATTTGACGGCCTTGTTGAAGGTACGAGGCCAAAGTGAAGCGTAGAGCATCGGCACCACACGTTGGGATGCCCTTCGGAAATTCCTTCTTTAACTCCTTCTCTGCCTTCTTAAGCTCACGTGGGCCGACATTCCCACCCTAAACACGTTAGAAATGTCAGTTCAAGCGCAGGAAATTTAGAAACACTCGTTTATGGCATGTACCTGCAAGTCCGAGAGTAGCTGGTCAAGACTGATGCCGTTGATCACATGTAGCGGATCGATGACGTTACCCAGACTCTTTGACATCTTGCGACCGGCCTTATCACGAACCATAGGATGAAGAAGCACCTTCTCGAACGGTACACGACCGGAAAACTACACAAAGTACGGTCAGTATATTCAACCACATGCATGACCTAGCTCAATTGGTACTAACCTCTTCACACAGCATAGCCATCCGTGCAACCCAGAAGAAGAGGATATCCGAGCCCGTTTCCATGACATCTAGTGGGTAACTCGAGCTCAGATCTTGCGCTACAGCCTTATCCTTGCTCGCGTTCGGCCATCCCTATTAAACAGACATAGTATCCATTATCCACGTTAAATCAGTACAACGTATCAGCTCAATATGACAGCTTACAAAAGCCGATAGTGGAAGTAAACCGGAGCTAAACCACGTGTCAAGCACGTCCACGTCTTGTTCCAGATCATTGTCTTGCAGCTTGCATCCCAGCTCAGCCTCAGCCTTCTGTCGAGCCTCCATTAGAGATGTAGCAACATACCACTTATCAGTGGCATCGGTAGCTCCAGTTGTACCAGGTTTCAGACGATACGCTGGGATGCGATGACCCCACCAGAGCTGTCGACTAACACACCAATCCTGGATGTTATCCAGGAAGAAAAACCACGTGATTTCGGCTCTATTGTCATCACTCCGTTGCGGACGTTGTCAGCAGCGCGCTTTGCCATTTCGCTACAGTCCACATACCACTGAGGCATGAGAAGCGGCTCGATGACATCTCCTGACCGCGAGCAGATCGACAGCGCAGTAGGATGATCAAGCTTCAACAAAGTAAAAGAGAATCAGTAGACCATCCTCGATATTGATACTAACTCAGTGCAGTATCCTACCTTCTCCACGTAAAGATTCATCTCCTGCAATGCCTCAACAACAAGTTGGCGAGCATCAAACCTGTCTAATCCGATAAAGTGCTGATCGATGTTACCGCACAATTTTCCGTACTTGTCGATCACTTCAACTTCCGGTAAATCGTGACGTTGGCCGCACTCAAAGTCCTTCGGATCATGCGCCGGCGTAACTTTCACAACACCTACCAGCAAGAAATGAAATACCATCAGCTTTTAAAATTATTTTCCAATGTATAAGATGAGTTTCTTTACCAGTTCCCAGCTCCATGTTTACCAGTGTTTCATCCGTAACAATCGGAAGTTTCTCCTTGGAAAACGGGTGAACCACACATTTCCCGTGATGCTGTTGATACCTCGAGTCTTCCGGATGCACTGCCACTGCTACGTCACCAAAAATGGTCTCAGGTCGAGTCGTATCGACCTCTAAGAACTCATCTGAGTCGGCAATCTGATACTTGAAGCGATGCATGACGCCAAACTCCACCGGTTTGTCTCTTCCCGGTAACATTTTCTTGGTGGCTTTCTCCAATTGTTCCGAGTCCACTTCAATGTCTGAAATGGCAGTCTGTAACGTCGGACACCAGTTGACCATCCGCCGTTTACGATACACCAAGCCTTTCTCATAGAGCGTTACGAAGGCGTTAATTACGGCTTCTGAGCGTTGTTTATCCAGCGTAAAATACGGCTGGTCTTTCTTCACAATTGCACCGAGATGATCGATCTGGTTCATGATTCTGCCTCCGTATTGCTCGTTCCATTGCCACACTTGGTCTACGAAGGCTTCACGGCCTAAATCGTAGCGGGAGAGGCCTTGTTCCTTGTGTAGCTTCCGTTCTACGACACTTTGAGTCGCTATACCTGCATGGTCCAGCCCAGGCAGCCAGCGGACGTCGAATCCTCGCATGCGGTGCCAACGAGCGATGGCGTCTTGGATAGTGATGGTTAGTGCGTGGCCGATGTGGAGCGCGCCTGTGACGTTGGGCGGCGGCAGGATCATGCTGAACACCTTATTAAGGGACTCTGTATCCACGCTCTTCAACTGTGTGTTTGGAGATAATGCTTGCTGCCAGTATTGCTGCCATCCTTGCTCGACAACTGTCGGGTCGTAGGTAGGAGCCAAAGGAGCGTGTTTGACACGCTCACGTAGCTCGTTAGATAAAGGAACAGGCGACGAAGACGCTGATAGAACTGCCGAAGAGTGTAGGTTCGAATGCACGCCAAAAGTGTCGGAGAACCGCCCTCTGGAGCGCAGGACTCGCTGCACAGCGAAGCTCTTGACGCACCTACGCTGCGCCAGCATTTTGAGGCTATGACGCAGTGTGTTGTGCACACCATATCCACAGATGGATACACCTCTAATTTAGTGTTTACCACGTAATTATGGTTTCGTACATTAAATTGTTTTCAACCAATCGAAGAACAGTACGAGATGTCGGTGCTGGTGGAGACGACGTTGGGAGCGCTGGTGCTGGACCTGTTCGTGGAGGACTGTCCGCTGGCTTGTACCAACTTCCTCAAGCTGTGTAAGACCAAGTACTATCACGGGTGTCTATTCTTCAATGTGCAAGAGAACTTTATGGTGCAGGCGGGGGACCCTACGGCCACGGGGACTGGAGGGGACTCAATTTATGGCAAATTGTATGGCGCACAAGCCAGATTCTTCGAGGACGAGCTACCAAAAACAAAAGGAAGATCCCATGAAGACTGCAGTGGGTTGGTAGGTATGGCATCGAGTTCAGCCAATCAGAACGCGTCCCAGTTCTACATTACCACAAGGGCCGAAGATATGGCATATCTGGACGACCAGCATACTATTTTTGGCGAAGTGGCGGAAGGCATGGATGTATTGGACAATATCAATGCGTTATTTGTGGATAAGGACTACAGGCCGTTCCAGGATGTCAGGATCAAGCACACATACGTGTTAGACGACCCGTTTCCGGACCCGAAAGGGCTGGACGAGTTGATCCCTCCCTCATCTCCAACTCGAGAGAGACCTGAAGAGGAACAAGTGGAACCGAGGCTTGCAGCTGACGAGAAGTTGGACGAGAATGAAGGTAGAACAGAGCAGGAGATCGAGAAGGCTGTAAGAGAGAAGGAAGCCAAGTCTCGTGCTGTAGTACTTGAGATGATTGGCGACTTGCCAGATGCAGACGTCAAACCACCAGAGGAAGTTCTATTTGTGTGTAAGCTGAACCCTGTGACGGAAAGTGCAGATCTGGATATGGCATTCTGCAGATTTGGTCCGTGCAAGTCGGAGGTGATTCGTGATCACAAGACAGGGGACTCTTTGTGCTTTGCGTTTGTCGAGTTTACGGACCGTAGACATTGTGAAGAAGCGTACTTTAAGATGAACAATGTGCTGCTCGATGATCGACGGATTAAGGTGGATTTTAGTCAATCGGTATCCAAGTTGTGGAATAAAGTCAAGCGACGCCCGTGGGAGAAGACTAGTAAGCGTGACGGCGACGCGTATGCAAGTGGAGGACGTGGTAGTAGGAATGGTGGAGGACGTCGTGAATTGGGTGGTGACTTGAGATTGAAGTCACGTGGTGGGGATGACTTTAAGCTGGTGGAGGAAGAAGAAGCTGCTTCGTCACGTCGATCGAAGCCAAAATCTGATCGTAACGAGCGTCAACGAAGCCGTAGTCGAGAGCGAGGGCGGTCACGAAGTGAAAGGGACTCTTCTCGATCTAAGCGAAGGAGCCATAGCCGAGAACGTGGCAAGGACCGACATAGTGAAAGACACGAGCGACGACGCCGAAGCCGCAGTCGGAGCCGTGGCCGTGGCCGGGATCAAGACAGGCGCAGTCGGAGTCGTAGTCCCAGCAGCAGTCGCAGGAGTGAGCGGAGTCGTGATCGCGATCGTCGTTCAAGGTAATGTGCGTTCTGACAGAAGCTAGCGCATCACTGTGACGCGCTTGCCGTCACACTTTGCTATTCGTCAAGCTAAAGCAAGTCGCGATGCTGTTTCGAATCAAAACTTTTGATATACCACGCATGATCAATAATTTGGTGTCAAAAGCTCCATTTTTTCCTTTCCAGTTCCTGCTACACATTCGACAAAAACCGACATTGCCGAGTGTACTACGTACAGCGCGCCACCATGCTATCCAGGTATATGCGAGACACCCGACTCGACCAACTCAACTATCGATGTCTTTGTGAAGCGTATTCCTGCAGCTAATGAACCCAATTCGGCTCCGAATGTGTAGCTTGTGCAGGGTGGTCCCGGGTACATTCACTCATACCGTAAATCCATCTCTGATTTATAGATAAACAAGTTTGTACTCACTCTGGCTTCTATGATGACACAGTGGATCTGCCCATGTTGAAGCTATTCTCACAGCTGAAAGGTGAGGTGAACGTAAACACCATGGACCATCGCGGAGCGGGGGAAAGTACCTCATTAACATGTAAGGTAACTCAGGACATACCTATCGATTCATCAGCAATGGGAGAGATCGATCCGTCACAAGTTCCTGTGCGCGCCCAAGAGATGGAGCAAAAGTTTGGTGATCTCGCTGCGTTTTCGACTACCAGCGCTGCCAAGGATTTAGCGACCTTCATCTCGAAGTATGGTAACGATTTCAGTACGACGATTTATGGCGCGCGTTATGGCACGTTGTGGGTGGAGCGGGTTATGCATTTGGGTCCTCCGGACGTGACGGGCTACGTCTTGGACAGTGTGCTCACGACCTCTGGAGCCTCCGCTGATACATTCATGAACATTTCCTCTTGAACGCCGCGTACAGTGAAGTAGGCGATGCGTTTCTGAATCTTTGTGATGAAGACGAGAGTTGCAATTTGCGATTCAAAAAGAAAGGTCTCAAGGCAATAATAGTACAGCATTTGATGACTAAGCTCGACAAGAATCCCACCTCAACCTGTGCCAAGGTGCTAGAGACAGCGGGAACAGACCAGGAGGACTACGGCCCACCGTCGTTTGCCCTTCGAAATTTACTGGGCTCGCTGCTTGCAGACTCAGACTACAGAACGATGATCCCATCAATCGTGTACCGATTGGCTCGCTGCGCAAAGAAGGATGTCGATGTACTCTCGCACATGCTCGAATACGTCAAAAATGGCATCGTCTTGGGTCTCAAGCTCTTTGGAGCAACGACTTATTTACTCGATAACCTCATCATCTTTTCCGAGATGTGGGAAACTCCCACGCCCAGCGTTGCTCAGATGACGGCGCGATTTGAAGCGACGACGATGAGTGGCTTATTATCGAGCACACAGGTGCAGGCATACTGTGCATACTCCAAAGAGAAATCGTCTGTGTGCAACAAATTTAAGGCGGGAGATTACGACGCTAACGGCATCATCTACGAGCATGACGAGTATTGGAATAAGGCCTCCAAAATCCAGGACCAAGCCAGTGTTTTGCTCATGAGCAGTGAACTGGATCCTATGGCACCTAGCAAGTACGCGACGTATTTTCTGGACGCACTTGATGGTGACAAAAAGGAGCTCATCACTTTCAAGTACACCACGCAAGGCAATCTCGTCGACAGTGATACCATGGAAAGCACATGCGGGATTAGTATTTTTGGCCTCCTTTATACAGGCCGAAGGCGATTTAGACAAGCTGAACAAAACGTGTGTTGAAGATCAAATATCCTCAGCGCTGAACTGGACAATTCCGATCGACCAACAGTACACTTACTTGAGCACTGATGATGCATACGACGGTGTGTTCGACTCGAGTTTGAGTGTTGATAAGGTGCCTGTAACTGAGGAAGATGCTTCTTCAATGGAAGAAGCGAAGGATGCATCGGGTGTGCGAGACTGAAGAAGTTTGCGGAATTGACTGGTGATGCGCGT